TGGAGATCTCCATAAGTATCACACACACAGGACTGAAATAATGTAGACTTGTTCTCCTCGACTCTTGTGTTTAAATAACAACTAACCAAAGTTTGTATCTCAACTCATTGTCATTTTATATGAACTTAAAAATAAAAAAAAACTCATTCATTTCTGTGGTGTACCATTTTTAGCCCCTTTTAAACCTACTTGTCGGTGTAGTAGACCCTTGAATTTTTTGGAGATTTCAGATTTGTACTAGTGTGAGCAGTGCTGTCATGACCATTAAAACACAGTTCACGTTGTATTCTGGTTTTGTGTGTTACCTCGTTCCCCACGGCACACGCTTCGCTTTATTGACAGGTGCAGGTCATTCATAATTTTGTACTTGAACTTCTTGGGTTCTTTTTAGAGACATGCAGTAAAGTGTGTTTACCTTGTTAGGCTTCGGCTTCATATTCTGAAGATGGTTCGCAGCAGCAGCCAAAACATGTCAACAAGGTAAATACACTTTACTGCATTGTCTTTAAAAAGAACCCAAGAAGTTAAAGTACATAAGAAAACAAAATAAACATCATTGGCTTCATAATTTTGTGCCTCACGTGATCAAGGCTTCTCACACGCCATTGGGCAAAATATAAGTCTCTACTGTAAAACTTACAAATAATTAAAATGAGAAAACAACACGACGAGGACTGTTAAAAAAATCACCAAATGTGTAAAATTTGAAATGTGTGAGGCTCCTGTTAAACACAAGAAAACATAACATGTGGGTAGTGATAAAAAAAATTTTGATTAATTTTTATTTGGAAGATCAGAAAAAGACCTTTTATATGGAACCAAACATCTGTATTTTATGAAGCTCCATCAATGTTACTTGTATCTTGAACATTCACATTTGACACAATGACACGAGTAAACAGTAATGATACAAAGCAGAAATGAACGAGTTTTTTTTTATTTTTAAGTTCATATAAAATGACAATGAGTTGAGACCAAACTTTCGATAGTTGTTATTTGAACACAGAGTCGAGGAGAACAAGTCTACAAACTTTCATCCTGTGTGTGTGATACTTACGGAGATCACGAGCATTTTAGGCCTGTAAACTGACACATCCTCCCCTCACTGAAAGAGCTGAAACTTAAAAAGTATTGATCGAAAATCAGTAAAACTTCACAGGGTTGGTCCAAGACAGTGAGGGACTATTTGGTCGTGGGCCGTTTGGTGAAATGCTGTGGAATGACCCTTAACTCAGCTGTTCTCCAAACGTTCTCCTCAGATGTTTCTCCAGGTTCTGGTCGTTTCTTTTCTGACCCTGAAGTTTTAGACTGAAACTTTCATCTTTTATTTTCAACACTACAAACTTTTTTCTTCTTCTCGACACCTTTTCATTGGCATTCACGTGTTTGATAAGTTTTGTTTTCGTCTCCCCTCCCTCTGCTCTCGGTGCTAAGTCCCTCCCCCTTCAGAGCACTATCAGGTTTGTCCAGGTCTGTAACGGACACAGATTCTGCTGGACGATGAACTGACCAAGAAACGACTGCGATAAACAATAATACTGACATTTTGAGACCGTTTTAAGCAAATATAATGAGAATGAAATAAAAATACAAACCAACCGTTACAAAGATCAATAAACTGGACTTTCTAAAGAACATTTACCACAGGAACCACAACAAAACCAAAACCAAAACCAACGGGCGTAAAGAAAACAGACTCCATCACCTGAGAATAAATGATAAATGACGTGATCGACCTCGTTAAAACTTATCATGTCATTGATTGAATTATTGATAATCGTTACAGGTCTAGTGTCACGTTTCTGTTTATTTATGGAGAGTCGTCGTGTGGGAGCACGGGGGACGTACGCTTGTGGGCGGAGCCTCGTACAGCTGACTGTAAACAGGGTCTGAATAGGGCTGTATGTTTCGGACTGTAAGTTGCACTTGTTTTTCATGGTTTGGGTGTTTCCTGTGACTTATACTCCTCATTAAACTATATACAACTGATCCATTATTATTATTATTATTATTATGTATTAAAAGGTTCACACTTTTCGCTTCATTACTTTGCGCCACTGAAAATGTCAAATTTAAACAAACTTCTAAAGACAAAGACTGAAAAGACTGAACACAAATGTCTCAAAAAGAAAGATATTTTGCAGATCACAAACTGCGAGTCGTGAAATCTGCAGCTGAAAACGGAAACGGAGCAGCAGAAAGAAAGTCTGGAGTGAGAGAGAAACTTGTGACACCGGGAGGATGAACCATGAAACTTTCCTGAAGTCATTGGATGGATGGACAAAGTCTGGACTTCAGAGACACTGAAACCATCCTGTCGGAGATTCAGAAAGACCCAAGAATAATTCTAACTGGAACTAGGGACATAACAGTAACTGAAATATCGTCAAAAGTCTCAAAATAACATCGTGGACTCTCACAATATCTCGAATCACAAGTTCCTTTGTTTAAATTCATAGTTTTATAGAAGCAACAGTTTATAAACATCAGGAACTACATTTCCCATGATTCATTTCAGCGCAGAAAACATGAAGAGATGTGGTTTTACTTGAATTCTTGGGATTATGATGGAAATAATTCACACCAAAATCTTGTCAAGGTGTTTTAAAAGCAAAAAAGTGTCACATCTACAATTACATATCAGCCTCTTTAAAATATCACAATAAATATCGAACCATGAGATTTGGATCGATACAGCCCGAACTGAAACTGACGACAGCGACACAGAAGAGTTTGTGTGGCTCTGTTTCCCTGCGCAGGTCGAGGTCGAGTTGTTCAGAAGTGACACGAGGATGAAGAATTGAAGTAATTTAGTGATTTGGAGTGAAACGGAGAGTTTGGTTAAACTTGTTCTGTTGTTTATATTTATCTGAAGAACTGAAGTCAAATATGTGACATTAACAGTCTGTTCTTCTCTCTGGAGCAACTTCTAGTCTCAAAAATCCAGTACATAAATGTGTGGACGACTCTAAAACCTCTTCAGGCTTCAGTTTCTGATGAAAAATACAACGTGCAGGAGTTTCATTACAGGATCTACACTGAGTGTGTTGGGATAGTGCTCTGAAGGGGGAGGGTGTTAGCACAGAGAGCAAAAGGAGGGGAGACTCAGAGTCACAAAAACAAACTTATAAAACATAAGAATCTGTTGTTTTTGGGCAAATAAAACATTTTCAGAACAATAAAACGAACATGGAGATCGAAATATGTGACATGTGTCAGTTTATGCCTCACAGAGGTAAATACCCGCTCTGTGATGCCACACAGAGGTAAATACTCGCTCTGTGATGCCACACAGAGGTAAATACCCGCTCTGTGATGCCACACAGAGGTAAATACCCGCTCTGTGATGCCACACAGAGGTAAATACTCGCTCTGTGATGCCACACAGAGGTAAATACCCGCTCTGTGATGCCACACAGAGGTAAATACCCGCTCTGTGATGCCACACAGAGGTAAATACTCGCTCTGTGATGCCACACAGAGGTAAATACTCGCTCTGTGATGCCACACAGAGGTAAATACCCGCTCTGTGATGCCACACAGAGGTAAATACCCGCTCTGTGATGCCACACAGAGGTAAATACCCGCTCTGTGATGCCACACAGAGGTAAATACTCGCTCTGTGATGCCACACAGAGGTAAATACCCGCTCTGTGATGCCACACAGAGGTAAATACCCGCTCTGTGATGCCACACAGAGGTAAATACTCGCTCTGTGATGCCACACAGAGGTAAATACTCGCTCTGTGATGCCACACAGAGGTAAATACCCGCTCTGTAAAGTCTGGTTCGGTCTGGCTCAGTTTCATCTGGGACAGTGCAGGATTTTCATCCTGTTCTGTGGAAGGTGAAAAGGCTGTGCCCAGACTGAACCCAACGGGCACGAGAGCGAACACGAGAGCGGGCACGAGAGCGGGCACGAGAGCGGGCACGAGAGCGGGCGAGCGGGCACGAACCGGACCCAGCTCCACTGAAGTGGAAATTCAAAAATATGGAGCGGTACCAAACCAAACCAAGGGTCCTGTTAGGAGGGTCAGGGCAGGACGGGCACCAGGGCGGGCACCAGGGCGGGCACCAGGGCGGGCACCAGGGCACCAGGGCGGGCACCAGGGCGGGCACCAGGGCGGGCACTGTATGAAGAGGTTTAGGAGCAGATAAAACACAAACTCAGCGTCTGCTCAGTGTGACCAGATTTTCAAAATGAAACTCTGGGTTTGTGGAGGTTGATAAAAATAAAACAGTGAATCAAGTGTAAAATTAAACTGTTCGTTTCATCATTTTCTTTGTGTTTTGTTTTTATAATCAGATTTTCTGTATTTTTACTTCAACAAAAGTCAGTTTGTCTCTTTCCTGTTGTCAGGATCAGACACTGGGACAGAGACTCAGACTCAGGACGGGACTGTCCCGGGGACACAGGGACGTGTAGGACATGTTGGAGGTGTAGGACATGTTGGAGGTGTTGGAGGTGTAGGACATGTTGGAGGTGTTGGACATGTTGGACATGTTGGACACTCTGTCTCTGCGCCGCCCGGAGGTTTCACCGCTCGGACAGCGCGCTCAGTGGGACTGCATTAGTCCAGATGCCCGTTCTGCTCGTGTCCGTGGACCTGTGGACGCGCTGCTCGTGTCCGTGTCCGTGTCTCACGCGACTTTCCTGCTTCCAGAAGCTTCCACACAGACGCACGAGCGTTTAAAAGGACTGTCCGAGCGCGTGCCGCCGCAGCTCTGTCCCCGAGGCGTTACGTCCTCGCGCTCTGTCCTCGCGGCGTTACGTAAACGCATTAGACATGTCCAAATGGGATTTAGACTCCGGGAGATCACTGCTCATCTGCAGCTCCCGCGGCTCCCGCGCCCTCCGCGCGCACCGGGACCAAAAACACGCATTTGTCACGCGCTCGTTTCAGGACACAAAATGTCAACACAGAGCTAGCAAGCGGCTACTTTAGCCAGGCTAGTCACAGTTAGCGTTAGCCTGTTAGCTTCGGCTCTTTGACTCTTACCGTCCGCGGCCGCGCGCTCTGCATGCTCCTCAGGTGTGGCACGGCGCGCCCCCGCCTCCAGAGGACATCCTCCCGAAACAGACAAAGATCAACTTTAATGTCCCGAGAAACGAGGCGAACATCCAGCAAAGCCTCCGCCGACAAACTAACTCTCCAGCACCTACAACAACAACGTCAAACACGCCAAGCCCCGCCCCCCGCGCACGCTCCACCAATCACACAGCGGGACGCGCCTTACGGACGCTCCTCTCCACCAATCACGTGTGGGCAGGGCTGTGACGGAGGCGCGTCGAGTGAGTAAACACCAAATGAGAGTGACGCAGCAGGGACATGTGCGCGGCCATTGGCTGCGGCGGAGCAGACGCGTCAGAGCAGACGCACCCAGAGGACCCAGAGCAGACGCACCCAAGGGGCCCAGAGCACACAGAGGACCCAGAGCAGACGCACCCAAGGGGACCCAGAGCACACAGAGCACCCAGAGCACCCAGAGCACCCAGAGCACCCAGAGCACCCAGAGCACACAGAGCACCCAGAGGGGGAGAGTTGTCAGGTGGGCGGGGACAGGTGACAGGATCAGCCTGTACAGCTGAGCTCAGGTTCACTGACACAAACACTTGAAAAGTTTTAGAAATGCAAAAAAAAAAAGAAAAACAATGAAATTCTTTTTTCTAAAAGTTTATTTTTTTCTGTTTTCAAACAATAAAATTCAGGTTTTGTTACATAAACGTGAAACTAAACAGAAAATGTACAAATGAACCATACACAACTTCAAATAGAAAACGTTAAGTAGATAAAAAACACCAGTCGACGTGAGGAACACCAAGTGTTTGTTTGGTGATGTTAAAGGTGTGGTCCCCGTCAGCGTCTCCTGCGGTCGGGACTCCTGCTCCGCCGACGACCTCCGACCCTGAAACCAAACACAAGAACAACTGACGCGCCGCAGGACACACACACAACAACAGTATTTACTCTAAAACTCAAACTAGTCAGGTTTTATTAGTTTCATCATCTTAACACAGAGTCTCTCCTCCCTTTGCTCTCTGTGTTAAGTCACTCCCCTTTCAGAGCACTACCCCAACTAGGGACGGGTCTGATTAGTCCACTGATCGATAATTGATCATTAATTTAGTTGATCACGTTGATGTTTCTGTATCACGAGGACACGAGTGTGTGTCTGGAGTCTCGTCCTCAGTCTCTTGTTTAGACTCTGGCTCCTCAGACTCTGTTCCTCAGTGAGTTTCAGCTCATCTGTGTCCTGGGTTTTGTCTCAGTGCAGTAAACACAGAGAGAACAGCCCTCTGACACAGAGAGAACACCCCTCTGTCACAGAGAGAACACCCCTCTGTCACAGAGAGAACACCCCTCTGTCACACAGAGAGAACACCCCTCTGTCACACAGAGAGAACCCCCCTCTGTCACACAGAGAGAACACCCCTCTGTCACAGAGAGAACACCCCTCTGTCACACAGAGAGAACACCCCTCTGTCACACAGAGAGAACACCCCTCTGTCACACAGAGAGAACACCCCTCTGTCACACAGAGAGAACACACAGAGAGAACACCCCTCTGACACAGAGAGAACACCCCTCTGTCACACACAGAGAGAACACCCTCTGTCACACAGAGAGACCCCTCTGTCCGCAGAGAGAACACCCTCTGTCACACAGAGAGAACACCCCTCTGACACAGAGAGAACACCCCTCTGTCACACAGAGAGAACACCCCTCTGTCACACAGAGAGAACACCCCTCTGTCACACAGAGAGAACACCCCTCTGTCACACAGAGAGAACACCCCTCTGTCGCAGAGAGAACACCCCTCTGTCGCAGAGAGAGAACACCCCTCTGACACAGAGAGAACACCCCTCTGACACAGAGAGAACACCCCTCTGACACACAGAGAGAACACCCCTCTGACACAGAGAGAACACCCCTCTGTCACACAGAGAGAACACCCCTCTGTCACACAGAGAGAACACCCCTCTGTCACACAGAGAGAACACCCCTCTGTCACACAGAGAGAACACCCCTCTGTCACACAGAGAGAACACCCCTCTGACACAGAGAGAACACCCCTCTGTCACACAGAGAGAACACCCCTCTGTCGCAGAGAGAACACCCCTCTGTCGCAGAGAGAACACCCCTCTGTCGCAGAGAGAACACCCCTCTGTCGCAGAGAGAACACCCCTCTGTCGCAGAGAGAACACCCCTCTGACGCAGAGAGAACACCCCTCTGTCACACAGAGAGAACACCCCTCTGACACAGAGAGAACACCCCTCTGACACAGAGAGAACACCCCTCTGTCACACAGAGAGAACACCCCTCTGTCACACAGAGAGAACACCCCTCTGTACACAGAGAGAACACCCTCTGACACAGAGAAACACCCCTCTGTCACACAGAGAGAACACCCCTCTGTCACACAGAGAGAACACCCCTCTGACACAGAGAGAACACCCCTCTGTCACACAGAGAGAACACCCCTCTGACACAGAGAGAACACCCCTCTGACACACAGAGAGAACACCCCTCTGTCACACAGAGAGAACACCCCTCTGACACAGAGAGAACACCCCTCTGACACAGAGAGAACACCCCTCTGACACAGAGAGAACACCCCTCTGTCGCAGAGAGAACACCCCTCTGTCACAGAGAGAACACCCCTCTGACACAGAGAGAACACCCCTCTGACACAGAGAGAACACCCCTCTGACGCAGAGAGAACACCCCTCTGACGCAGAGAGAACACCCCTCTGTCACACAGAGAGAACACCCCTCTGTCACAGAGAGAGAACACCCCTCTGTCTGACACAGACAGAGAGAACACCCCTCTGTCACAGAGAGAACACCCCTCTGTCACAGAGAGAACACCCCTCTGACACAGCAGAGAGAACACCCCTCTGACGCAGAGAGAACACCCCTCTGACACACAGAGAGAACACCCCTCTGACACAGAGAGAACACCCCTCTGTCACAGAGAGAACACCCCTCTGTCACAGAGAGAACACCCCTCTGACACAGAGAGAGAACACCCCTCTGTCACAGAGAGAGAACACCCCTCTGTCGCAGAGAGAACACCCCTCTGTCACACAGAGAGAACACCCCTCTGTCACACAGAGAGAACACCCCTCTGTCACACAGAGAGAACACCCCTCTGTCACACAGAGAGAACACCCCTCTGTCACACAGAGAGAACACCCCTCTGACACACAGAGAGAACACCCCTCTGAACACCCCTCTGACACAGAGAGAACACCCCTCTGTCACAGAGAGAGAACACCCCTCTGTCACACAGAGAGAACACCCTCTGTCACAGAGAGAGAACACCCCTCTGACACAGAGAGAACACCCCTCTGTCACACAGAGAGAACACCCCTCTGTCACACAGAGAACACCCTCTGACACACAGAGAGAAACACCCCTCTGTCACAGAGAGAACACCCCTCTGACACAGAGAGAAACACCCCTCTGACACAGAGAGAACACCCCTCTGTCACACAGAGAGAACACCCCTCTGTCACAGAGAGAACACCCCTCTGTCACAGAGAGAACACCCCTCTGACACAGAGAGAACACCCCTCTCACAGAGAGAACACCCCTCTCACACAGAGAGAACACCCCTCTGTCACACAGAGAGAACACCCCTCTCTCTCACACAGAGAGAACACCCCCTCTGACACAGAGAGAACACCCCTCTGTCACACAGAGAGAACACCCCTCTGTCACACAGAGAGAACACCCCTCTGACACAGAGAGAACACCCCTCTGTCACACAGAGAGAACACCCCTCTGACACAGAGAGACACAGAGAGAACACCCCTCTGTCACACAGAGAGAACACCCCTCTGACACAGAGAGAAACACCCCTCTGTCACACAGAGAGAACACCCTCTGTCACAGAGAGAACACCCCTCTGTCACAGAGAGAACACCCCTCTGACACAGAGAGAACACCCCTCTGTCACAGAGAGAACACCCCTCTGTCACACAGAGAGAACACCCCTCTACACCCCTCTGTCACAGAGAGAACACCCCTCTGTCACAGAGAGAACACTCATATTCCACTGAGTCACTGTGTCCTTTAGTCCAACACAAACTGAACCACATCAGACACAAGAAACAACTGTTTTTATCACACATTAGTTTATGTAAATGAGTCATGTGATTTTTAGTTTGTGTAAAACAAACAAAAGTGTCAAAACTGAAAACAACCTGAGCTTTAAAAACAAAGAACATCAGGACGTCACCACTTTGCAAATTCAGGTTTTTAATCGAGATTTTGCAAAATTGATTAACAGCTCCCCCCTCTGAGCAGCTCCCCCCTCTGAGCAGCTCCCCCCTCTGAGCAGCTCCCCCCTCTGAGCAGCTCCCCCCTCTGAGCAGCTCCCCCCTCTGAGCAGCTCCCCCCTCTGAGCAGCTCCCCCCTCTGAGCAGCTCCCCCCTCTGAGCAGCCCACAGAGGGATTTCTGAATGTCTCATATTTGATGATTTAGTGTAAATGTCTTGTCTTTTTGTTTTGTAAATTTATCTCACCGGATTAAAAAGGTTGAAGCCTCCAGACACAGACTCGACTTTTCTAACCTGCTGTTGTGTCCAAACAGGAACTGTGTGTGTGTGTGTACGTGTGAGTCCGGCGCTAGTGTGTGTCTGGTGTGTGTGTGTGTGTGTACGTGTGAGTCCGGCGCTAGTGTGTGTCTGGTGTGTGTGTGTGTGTGTACGTGTGAGTGTGGTGCTGTGTGTGTGTGTGTGAGTCCGGCGCTAGTGTGTGTCTGGTGTGTGTGTGTGTGTGTGTGTGAGTCTGTGTGTGTCTGGTGTGTGTGTGTGTGTGTGTGTGTGTGTCCGGCGCTAGTGTGTGTCTGGTGTGTGTGTGTGTGTGTGTGTACGTGTGTGTCCGGCGTGTGTGTGGTGTACACGTGTGTGTGTACGTGTGTGTCCGGCGTGTGTGTCTGGTGCTAGTGTGTGTGTACGTGTGTGTCCGGCGTGTGTGTGGTGTGCACGTGCACGTGTATGTGTGTGTGTATGTGTGTGTCTGGTGCTGGTGTGTGTGGTGTGCACATGTGTGTCTGGTGTGTGTCTGGTGTGTGTGTGTGTGTGTCTGGTGTGTCTGGTGCTGGTGTGTG